ATAAATATACATTTTACAATTGTCAATAACGTAGTTCCACCCTTCCCTCCCCCCCCCCAGTAATATCTGGGCAATTCCGTAAAACCCAACGCACGTCCGACCACACGATGCACATGAACAAGGTCGTTAAGGTGGTGGTACCTTAGTTTGGTCTGTAATTGTTTCCTACTCATTAGATGTCACATTATTAGTGATGTATCACATTCACTTTTCCAATAGCAGCTTATTAAGAGTCTGACAAGTATGTTTGAATTGCCCATCTAAAAAAAAGATAGGTTAAAAATAGTACAAATATAGCATAGGTACCACATCTGAATAATTCTGTAGTTAGTTTTCTCTCTGTCTACACCATCCCTGAACTATTCTAGGCCATTTAAAGTAATTTTCTATTGAAATAGAAGCATTTATGGTAGTTTTACAGTGCTAGTAAAACACTGCAAAAACTAAATCTTGCTGTTTACATCAACTAATCCTAGTAAATAGGAGGTCATTGGTTCGAATTCCATCTGAGTGAGCTTGTGAATTGTTTCTCACAAGTTTAATATCAGAAGGCATTTTAAGGCAAACAGTACTTAAAAAAAATGACATCAGTGAAAAATGAAACCATTGATCAAAATTTGTATTTAAGAGTTCTTTATTAACTTGATCTTTCAGAATCGAATGTACATCTTGTATGTTGCTGGGATGTCTTGCATAGTAAGGAGATGGATATAGGTGGACCAGTCCTGAAGAATGTGGAGATGGGTAAGTGGAATTTCCAGCATGTTTTAATTTTTTTTTTCAAGAATCCAAACTGTTAATTCCAATTTGACATCTGGATAAGGAACTGATGATGCATCTGGAACCTGATTGTTTGCACAAGCTCAGTGGAATTGGAGGAGATCTTCTACTGTAATTGAATTCAATCGGTTTGTTGACTTAGAATTTACAGTCTACACTAACGCTGTCGATGGCTTGAGATGTTATTATGACTTGCAATTGCACATCGTGAGCCAGGTGCGAGGAAATTATGGAGGACTGTGGAGGGAAAGACAAAATTGATGCTGTTGAGCTGGAGCGAACAGCCAAATGAAGATACCAGAATGAGATTCCATTGTGTACCTAGGTACAGTCTGTGAATTTTTTGTAATGGGTCGTATTTGCTCCAGGGTTGGTTTGAATATTTGTCGTGTCATTTTTCATTACGTGAGAGTAAGCGTTCCCTGCAAGTCATCCTGTCAACGGGTATGAAACAAAAAGTGCAAAGTTCTCATTCCGTCTCGGCTGTCGTCCATTTGCAAAAACCGACAGAGGTTTGAATTGGCATGATCGGAATACCAAGCCGATCATGGACGTTATTAGTCCCGGCTCACATTCTCCATGCCGAGGGAGATGCGTGTGGTTCTCAATTGAAGTTGATATAAGCCCAGAGAGGCCAAAGTAACATGCATTAATGTGACAAGTCATAGACATTAGCTGTCTTCCATTATCGCACTCGTTGTGTCGAGATCTTGTGACGTGTTGTTATTCTTGGGCCCCATCGTCGTGTCATATCATCAGTCACAGAGTTCCCCCCCCCCCCCCATCTCGAGAATACATCTGTCAGTGAACTCTGTGATGAAGCTTGGCTGAGCTTCTCCATCCATCACACCCCCTCGGGAGAAAAGAGGCGAGAAGAGCATGATGGGAAGGACAGAGACCAAGGTCTGAACTCGGGCTCATCATAAACACCTCATTTGTAGTCATCCTGCCGCGCAAAACATCTATAGTTCGGTCTCCAGACACACAGTGTTGCAATTTGTCCGCACACCCTCAGCAAGGGATTGTGGGGGATCGCTAGTCGTGCAAAATCAAACGCAATTTGGTACGGAATACCAAATTACAGGAACCATGGGAGATAGCAGGAGAACCCACCAAAGATTGCTTCTTGTGCAAGTCTGTTTCCGATGCCGTTGCTGAGGTCAACAGTTTACTTTGTGTTATTTCCCTCCATGACAAATGTGATTGCCTTATTAACATGGTGTGTTTGAACCCGGGGGGGGGGGGGGGGGGGGAGAAAGAGAGAGTTTCTTCATCAGGACATTGCCTGAGATACAGAGACTCAGCTCCTGCAACTTAATACATGAATCCATAATCGAATAAAAACTCTCCTTCAAGGCACAGACAGTTTTTCTGGACAAATCTCCTTTTAACGCTCGGATATATTTCCCCCAGTATCAATTCCTAGCATCCTTTAGATTCACATGTGGTGATGAATGCATATTACTCGGTGTTATTTATTTATTTGTTCTTTTCTTTTTATTTTGTGCACAGTGATGGAAATTCCATCGCATTAAATGTAATGAAATCTGGTATCTTTGCAGCCAAGATGACTATGTGTGTCCAAATCAATTTTCTGGAATCGGTGTTAAATGTCTGAGATTGAAAACGTGTCTGTCTCTGTTGTTTCTGACTGATTCATTGAAGCTTTTTATCCCAAAGCTTTCAATTTCTTGATTTTTTGTATCCTAAATCTAATATGACTTAATCTTTAAACGTAGTTTCAAAAGTTGCCACATTCTTATTAATTCATCAAAATCTTAGATGTTTCATGGCATGTATTTGCATGAGTGAATGAACTCAAAAGAAGAAAATAATTTTGCTGCACTATTTCAGTCATCATGATTTATAGTTAATACACAGCACAATAAAGCAGTTCGGTTATCTCGATGAAGTAGTCCAGGTCAAAGGTCATTCGTGATAAAATGGAAGGGTCTTGTAATTGTTTGTTACGCACATGTCCATTCTGGTCACAATTAACACGTGAGCCTTGTACGACGGTCTCCTTGTGCATTCATGCATCTTCCATGAGTGTTCAGTTATCCCAAATGACCTGTGACCCATATCATGGTGCACATGCGCAGTTGAAATACAGCACTGGCATGTTAAGCATGTGAATGGATACCAGACTTTTATTTGATTAGATTTGATTGAATTTGATTTCCAATAATAATCACAATAATAATCAGGTGATGAACGGAGGAGGCTGGCAGAAAGCTGAAATTTGTACTTGATCAGGCCACTGTTAATAATTACTTGACTTCTAGTGAAGTAATTCTTCGGTTTCAAACACTCTCCTTACAGGTATTATAAAAGTAAAACTAAGTGTTATTTACTGATTGTTTGTTTTTGTTTTGAATAATGTGCTGGCTGCCAGATTATTTTAACCGTTTAGGACATGGACAGAGCAAAAGTAAATCATTAATCAAGATAGACGTTGAAAGTTGGAAACGTAACGTCCTTTTTGTGGTTGGTGAGGTGACTTTGCCATCTTGCCTGTTTCCTTTGGGAATGTTAACTTTAATCAACTGGTCAATGGATGAACTAACATCCACATAGACCATTGGCATTCCAAAAACAATTATTTTCAGGAAATAAATTAAAATGTTGTGCATCTTGCAAGCCATCAGCTACATACCTTTTAGTTTAAATATTACAATGTGGAAATAGCGCACGATACTTTTATACTTAAAAGCCTTCCCCTTTTTGAAGAAAAACAAATACCAATCCTCTTGCATGGACCCTCCAAATATTTGGTTTTGGATCCACCCTTGACACAGACATGAAAAAATCCTAGATGCCTCAGCTGATTTCAATGAAATACTTAGATATATGTAACAAAACAATGCTTTGTATCGGCTTCATATGGTATAATTAAGCAGTGATAATAATGGCCTCCATCTCCTTGGCTTATTGAACTTACGATATTTGACCTTTAACGCTACCGTTATTAGTCCCAAATGACCACTATGCAGTGACCAAAGAGTGACCCATAGAACAAGCACGCTCTACACCAAGTCCATAATTGACAACCTAACGAGCCCCCAGTTCACGGCACTCTCATCTTGACCAATCGTCAGCTGCTATATCTTTATTTATCTTCCTGTTGATAAACACTACTCTTGCAATCGACGCGCTTTACGCAACCGGAGGGGTCAGGCTGCACTTTTTCACTAGCCACCATGTTGCAATCTTGGACAGAGCAATAACTGCTTGATGAGAATTTAACAACATTATGAACCATTTTGAGGCCTCCATCTTTAACGCACTTAAGATTGTATTTCTTATTCCACCTGCTAGCCCTTGGTAAAAGTACATCACGGAGTGCCCAGGTGTCAGTATTTTGTGGGGCAAAACGTCTGCTTGACTTGGTTTTATGCTCAATCCTTTAAGAGGGCAGGCATTTTTCCTTTAAGAGTACAGGCAGTTTTTGTTTACAAACCCTTTGCTACTTTTTGGAAACAGAAGGTGAGAAGTGTTACAAAAACACTCAATAGTACATCACTGTTTTGCTTTTAAGAAGTTCTGCACTTTGTAGTGGGTTTGATTCATTGCTTGCTGCCAAAGGTATTTTTGTGAAGTTCCTGTTGACAGTTTTGAAACAGCTTTACAAAAAAATTGTTACATTTTGTTTAAAAAAACTCAATTAAAGACAAAAATATAGGCATAGCAAGAAAATTAGAACAATACTTTTGTTGGATGTTTGGGACTTATAAGTTCAGTGTAGCTTTTTTTTGTCCTCGCTTAAAATGGCAACAGGAATGGCCATGAAACTATTTGCCAATTCCTATCACTTCCTATACCATTAGACCAAAGTGAATTTGTTGAAAGATAAACAATGAAGATTGAGATACAAAAACGAAGGACAGTGTAACGATTGCAAAACATAAACTGTCTTTCCCATCAGGTTGATCACATTCCTCGTTTCCTTTCTTAATTTTCATCCACTCGAATAAAGTATTAAGCATGATTTGTTACTTTGATAAGCTCATTACCCGAATGCTTCAATCACATTTATCTTTCTACCATTTTGAACATGTGCAATTTCCAATCACTCTTATTCAAAGCTTTCTTGAAACGATTCAAGGCCAAAACACTACGACTAGACTCATTGTCGATACAGCTCCCGAAATTAGCTGCATTTTTTTTCTCTCTGAATGCGATGAAACACCTTGATAGAGTGGTTGGGCGAACATGATTACATTTCCACGGCAATCCATTCATACTATGATGTAAATTAATGTTAGAGTATATACAACATCAAATATCAAGTGTGAACTGAGGAGGTTTTTTTTGGGAGGGGAGTTTGAGTGTTTGGTGATTGTGAATTGACGCGTGCACGCAACGATGGTATTTAAATAGATGCTAGTTGTTGAAAATTGCAACAGTTAATTTCGGGAGGGATTTGCCAATTTTGTTTCTGCTTCAGGGGTTGAGAAGTTGAGACAGGATTTTTATCCTTCACTTTTGATTACAGCTTTCTGGATTTAATTTCTGATCTGACTGTATCATAGGCCGACTGTGCTTTTGAGTATTATCCCTATGTTTAAAGGTGGGTGTTTTTGTCTTGCCAGAATATTTCCTCAGGATCTTGTCAGATTCTTTGTATTTCAAATAAACCACATCAAGAAACGGATTCTTTCTTTCACAGATGATCAAGAGATTTCTTTTTGAGTACAAAATAACATTGTGCATGATGTATCCATAGTTTCAGAGATGTATTAAATTGGGTTTTAATAGTAGATTCTGATGTATGAAACCACTATAAATTTTAAAAAGTGAAAGGAAACTTGGCGGATTGTTTCAGTCACCGAATTTCCCAAAATTAGTAAGCTGGATGGTATTGATTGGATTGGGAGTAAGATTTATTATGCAGCAATGAAACTTCTCTGTGCCAACATTTTGGTTTCCGCCACTCCATATTGGATCGACGTTTGCACCAAACTTACTTTTCTGTGGTATTACTAGTGCCTAGCTGGTTCTCATGCATTTTTCACCAGTGTAATGGTGCATAGCATGGCCCAATGCAATGAAGCTTTCACCGGCCGAAGTGTTTTCATAGCATTTATATGAATTTTTATTCGAAGCTAATTGCATTCTACAAAGTCATTATTCATGGTCAGAACTCTCTTTGACGGCCCGTAACTTTTGAGTCTCAGTTATGATGTACATGTAGTCAACAGCTTGGATAACTTTAATACGACAAAGTGCAGTGTTATTCTCCTTTTTATTTTACATTGTATCAATATGTATCTTTCCTTTTCTAAAATAATATATTTTATACAGATTCTGAAACAGATTTTGTAATTGTAAAAACGTTCAGAGTCTGCGTATTATGCTTTTGGATTTCTATTTCCTTGTGATTGTTAATGAACCATGTTTGACCTGTTGCAAAACATGATAAATAATTTTAGTTCAGTTTCCCATTAATTCAATATAATGCTTATTTTGAAATGGACTTTTTGAAAGTGAAAGTCTCTGTTTAAAATTACAAATTGAAAATGTATGTCCATTAAAAAGTAAACACTGCCCTCTAGAGGAAGAGAGTTAGCAAGAAACCAATAACATCTTTGAGGAGTTACTTCACTACTAGAACATAAAAGAGGTCCTAGCTAAAGGTCAAGCAAGTCTGCAAAAACAAAGAAGCCAAAATTAGTGACAGATATTATAACTCCCACGTAAACGTGCAGGTAGCATCATTACCATTGCAGATTGACATCCACCAAGGAATCCGGTTATATCAGGCAGTCAACAGTTGTGGTGGGAGGGGTTGGGAGTTCAAAATAAGATGTCCATCTTCTCTCTTTTTTTTTCTCTGTCCAACTGACCTGGTTACACAATACTCCCATTGACATAACAACCATTTACAGTTGTTTGACCAGCCTGGGCTGACCATACACTGACCACTCCGGCCACGAAATAAAATACTGCAAAGGAAGACGGTTTTCTTTGGGGGGGGGGGAGAGATAAAGCCACTGCGTCCACTCTCAGCAAGTGTGTGCACAGTAATAAAGGGATCCTCCCACTGGTCCCCTGGGGGTTCTTCTATTACATTTGAGTATGACCCATGGAAGACACCGAGGGTAATTTGTGCTGGACTGGGCCTCCTTGGCCTCTGACGTGGATAATCGTTTCTGGTATCGTGTGACCCCCTGATAATCTCGCTGACCTGAATACCGTGTCCGGAAAAATCGGTGGCGTTATTTCGACAGAGCGATTTGGGAGCGAATCAAATCCCGACCCGACTTGTGTTACACTTGTAAACTGGGTCAAGACTAACTGTTGTACAAGTTTTTATTTGGAGGGAGTTAGCTTAGGTTGACACAGAATGTTTGCATTGGGCTGTCGTTTGTGATTGGTGGATTTGTTGCTAATGATGAGAGGGAGGGGCGGGGCCTGATTGGGTAAAAAGGGGGAGGAATAGATCGTGGTAAGTTGGATGCCCTGGTCACAAAAAGTCACAGAGTGATTTTGATGTTCAGATTTGATAACATAATTACATGAAAGCAGTTTGTTTTAAGTGTGTATTTGTGGGTGGGCGGGCTGTCACCGAGTTATGGGGAAGTTTTTTTATTGTTAGGCAAATTAGGACCGAGTTACGGGGACTTTCTGCTGTGCCCACAGCATTTTCGGTTCCTGTAGTACCCATGGAACAACTCGTGTGTAGTTCCCACAGTTACGGAACAAGAATGTGTGTGTGTTGGGGGGGGGGGGTTCAAATGTAACCACATGAATTGCAAATGTCATCAAGAAGGAACATAAAAACCAGCCACATTCAGTTGGCTTGTAATAATTGATTGATTGCCATTCAGATTTATATTGAGTTTGGATTGGTCAACATTTAGTAACGTGTCATTCAAAAACAAAAAAGGCAAACAAGAAACCCCTAACAGGTTTTTTTTTCCTCAGCAGAAAAAGCATTGGTTCCTTCCAAGACTTTTAATTTTTGTAATAATAATTCTAAGAAAATTAAATAGCCAAAGAGAAAGTTTACTTTTGTAGGATTTAAATGTACCATGGGCAGAAGTTATGGGTTTGAATCCTATTTTGGTAAATATTATTTGATGCTGAAAGAGGAGTATTTTACATGGTATCACAAAAAAAGAAGAGTTTAGGGTCTTTACTGGAAGGCTGAGGGTTCCAGTTTTTTTCTAAGTAGTTGACCTGGACTCTGAAAGGTAGCGCCTAAACTTTTCAGTTGTTACTTCAGTCTCTCTAGAAGGCATCTAAGTGTTCCATGTCATTCCCAGTCATGTTCAAATCTACCCAAAATGTGTCTCACACCGGCCCTTATCCCCGTGCCCTGCCATGACCCCTCTATAGGCCTACACTCAATCCAACAAATTAAGAGAAAGAAAACCCTCACAGGGTCTGAATTGCCCTAGGGGTCGTGGGGCTTGAATGATGAACCGCAGGGTAGCTTCATTATCATAAGTGTGCCAGGCTTGTGCCTAGGAGTGTGTCAGGGAGTGTGTCTGTCCTGTCGGCCTTGTTCAGTGATACCCAATCCAGACAGTAAAGTGATTCTTTTGTTCCCTGAATGCTTGTTACTTCAAGTTATTTTGTCCTGGGCTACAGGGTCAGCCATAATTGGGTGTATGGTTCATATAATTGGGTCTTGGGAGGGGAGCTCAGATTCCAAAATAGCTCCATTAGAGTGTGGTGTGTATGGGCTGTGTGTGGGAACCATAGATGGCAGTATTCATGTGCCATTATGGTGAGTTGGTCTGATGTCTTGAGGATGCAGACCAGTAAATAAATTCCCATAGACACCAATGATAAAAAAACCACTTCACAAAATCAGTAAAAAAAATACTCGCAACTCTCCAAGGTGCTCAAGACATACATCAAATTAAAGCTTGATTAATCCTCTTCTCTTTCTGCTCAATTTTTGTGGGGTTGACTGATGACTTTTGGGTGATTTTTCCCTCCAAAGACGACCACCCCTAAAAAAAAAACCCAGTCCTGAAGTCCATTGCCATTTTGAAAAATGATCCACTCCGTTGCAAAATAGAGCGATTTTCAGGTCTGATGTCACCCCAATTTTCTCAGAAATACAACTTCAAAGACTGGTGTAGACCTGGGACCCTTCATTTCTACAAGTGCAGGGTTCACAAAACTCTCTATTAAGAGCTTGAAGATTGGACAGTATACAAGTTGTGATTTGGTAGGTGTTGGTGGTTTTGGGCCTATGTAATGCTGGTCTACACCCTTGAGTCTTTGCACCCGTACATGAAATCCTGCATACAGGCCTGCAAGTAGTCATGATTTGGTTTCATATTTCTCAAATACGCAATGCTAGTTATGAGCCATGTTCTCAATAATGGCTTCCGAAGTTGTGAGGACACGACGGGCATGAGGAGAATATATAAGGCATCTCGGCTTTCCAGAAATCTTGTGGCCTGAACTCTCAATGATTTCACAGTCACGTTTGAGACAAAAAAAAAAGGTTATGATGCTTAGTTCTAACAATTGGCCCCCTAAAAATTCTGAATGTGACTCAATTTTCTGCTCAACTTGTTTTCACTGTTCTACCTTTGCTTTCTGGGTTGCCTAGTTGCAAATGATAATGTATTATAGATTGGAACGAACTCTCTAAATCAACATGTTTTGACCAGGGAGTTTTCTTGAACACAAACAGGTAGTTCTGTCACAACCACTCTGCATCCATTGATATGCCGCTGAGCTGCACAGGGCCTGGGCCAACCACTTCAGGCTAGAAAAGTTGGCACAGAGCCAAGAGACGACGACTGAATTTTCCGGCGAAAGAGTCTTTCAGGAGAGCGAGAGAGAACTGTGCTTACAGGTACATTTGCAATCACTTCAGCAGATGTTATGTGAAGACATGAATGTAACGGAAGCACGAGGGTACATTTACCTGAATTTGGTTTGACTAGATTGACGGAAAAGGAAAGAATCAATTTTTTTGCTGCCCCCAAGTATTGCTCCGAAAAGTCTTTCACTAGACACTCAACTTCATTCATGGCTTACAAATGTTGTACATTCACTTTACAATGCACTGTATATAAAAACAAATCTAAGTCCAAAGAGCTTTGGCCAAAACCTGGTTTGGATCAGAGGCTGGAATCCATTCCAGTCACGTTTTAGGAGAATGCTTGGCTTAGTATACATTTATTTATTTATTTTAATTTTTCTTTCTTGCATTAATCGCCCATGAAATGGAGAAAAGGATAAATCCCTTTCAAATAGAAAAGAGGATATTTGTGTCATAATTGTGCTATTTTCTTTTGGACAATATGTGTTTCTGCTGAATGGAACAAACTCTTTTGTTGTACCTAGTGATGGAATACAAGCTATGAATAAGTAAAGTCTGAAAACTGACCTAGATTCCTTGACACTGACAAAGTATAGAAGAGGCTTGTCACCTTGTCACTTCACTGCTCACTGTTTTAAAGGCCGTAAAAAGAAAAGATTGTGTTTATGGTGTGTCAACTAACTAACAAAAATATTTTCTTTGGATATTTCTTGTCACTAAAATAAACTCTGTGTTAATTCTTTTGTGTTCAATTTGCAGAAAATTTTCTGAATGTGTTAATAGGGGATCTTTTTGGTTGTTATAATTTGTAAGTTTAAAAAAAAATTAAAAAGCGACCCTGTTGATACTTGCAAACTGATTTTCTTCTAACACAGCTTCAGCAACATTTCTTTCCGTCATTTTTTTGCTCCGTTCTAGCAGCAGGAAATAACAGTTTCCTCGATAATGGACCAGCGGAATTGGAGCAGATGTAGCACCCCTGGCAAGACCTGACGACTCAGCACCAGGGCATAATGGCTAACGAGACTAAAATGGACGATTCACCCAAGGAACTCACTACTACAAGACTTGGGTAAGTCAGGATTTATTTCTTAAATTTATAGCTGCAAAACCTATGGTTGCATCCGAAGCCATTTGGTTGCAAAGTCAAGGAACTCCTAAGGAGAAAAGGTACTCTGCAAATCTGTATGCTTGGCTATAAAAATAGGAAAGGTGATCATTACATAACATTTTGGCTGGTAATCTTAGAATATTTTGCTGGTAACCTTGGATATTTGGCCGGTAACTTTGGACATTTTTTCAGGTAACCTTGGACATTTTTGGCAGGTAACCTTGGACATTTTGGCTGGTAACCTTGGACGTTTTGGCAGGTACCCTTGGGCATTTTGGCAGGATACCTTTGACATTTTGGCTGGTAACCTTGGACATTTTGGCTGGTAACCTTGAACGTTTTGGCTGGTAACCTTGGACATTTTGGCCGGTAACCTTGGACGTCTTGGCTATTGACCTTGGACATTTTGGCTGGTAACCATGGATATTTTGGCTGGTAACCATGGACATTTTGGCTGGTAACCTTGGCGCTAAGCAAATTTGTAGTTAGAGAAATTGGCCTAAAATTCTGGATGTTTACACGACGAGAATAGATCTGCAAATCTGAAAACTGGTGCTTAGTTGAAACATCGGTGTTCAGCCAAAATGACATACATGTAATCTGTGAGGATTGCATAAAGAGAATTTTAAAACACACATATTGTGTGTTTTGGGAAGTGGACAAAGGAGCACATTCCATACTGTATATTGTATGGTGTATCGGCGGGAAAAAGATCGCATTGACCCCCACTTTTCTTCTGTGAATCACTTTTCTTCTTTTTTTCCTTTTCAACCATGCACTCATCACCTTTGTGACTAATGCCAAAAAGTGCATGCCGACCATCTGAACGGCTGTGTTTTTTCCTCTGTTGCTTCGACGGAACGGCGGTGAAATATTCATTATTTGATGTCACGGTGCATCATGTCAGTACCTTGACAAGATCTTGACAACCGCACACTTTTTCTTCCGTCTCCTAAACAAGACTGCTGCTATTTCTGTTATACTCAAGCGTGCGGTATTTGAAGATATGTAAATATTTTGTATCCCGTGAGAACTGGCTGCGATTCCATGCTTTTTAGAAATCTATTTCTGTGGATGTATATTTGTACAGGACAGACTGAGTTCAAACCTTTAACAGAGATCTGAGTTTCCAGTGCAGTCATGAATATTCAAAGATCTTGTTGGCAAAGCTGTTTTTATTTTATTTATTTTTAAAAATAATTTCGAAAATAATTTAGATAGAAGAAAATATATAAATCCCAGAATGTTCTAGAATAAGGTAGGGATACAAAAAAAAACAGTCCACATATTGGCCCAGGCGGGATTTGAACCCGGGTCACAGTGGTGGAAGGTGAGAAAAGAACCACTACGCCAACCTGACTTTGAAGGTCCCCAAAAAAATTATTCATGATTCTAAATATCTGGGGTAATAGTCACGCTCCCAATAGAAAGCAGCATCAAATTTCAGTCTTTAAATCGTCAAAAAACACAGCGGAGTATTTCCAGTGGGGTTGTATTTACATGTTATTTGAACTACCTGGAGGGTTCTTGTCCAAAGTAAATTGTGGCTCTGTGTTCCTTTAAGCTGATCGCAGTCCATACATCCAGGTTAAAAACATAGCGTAAGTGGGTTAGCGTGTGTGTGTTTTCAATCATGCGTTCAGGAGATGCCTGCGACATCAGCTCCTACGCAAACAACGCGCATGACAAGAATATTCAGTTTTGGCTGTCCATGTGTGCACACATACATAGTAATCGCCCAGCGAGTTGAAGACAAAAAAATGGGGGAGGGGGTTGAAATTTACTATAACAGGTTCTCATCAGTTGTCACTGGTGTCCCATCTCGGGGCAAACATGGACGTGTGTGCGGCTTGCTAAGACAATGTCGCACATCCTGCAGAGCAAAGACAGAAACCGGGGCATCCCTGTGTCAATGTAGCAAGTGTATTTACTCTCTGTGAGGCATACGTCTCCGTGTGTGGTTCTAATTTAGCTTTTGTCAGCTGAGCTGGGCACTGGGAGACGAAAACCCGAGCCAGCAAGTAGACCAGAACACTGAGACGCATACAGCTCTTTGGCAAATAGAGAGAAAAAAAATGGAGGGAAAAAAGAAAGACTGAAAGAAAACGAACTGGAGACTGATTGGAAGAACGACCGAGTGATGACACTTGTTTTTAGCGAGATTAGTTTTCGTAATCAATCTAGCTCTTTGTTCAGTGCGTGGGTTCTCGGGAATCTTTTGACCTGTCGGGGTTGTGTCAGATGTGCTTGTGACTTGGGGGGGGGGGGTGTAGTAGTTCTGAATTTCTTGTTTCTCGGAGAGTAGGACATATGACATCTTTGTAAATTATATGCTTGTCTTGTCTTCAGTTTAAATGTTTTTAAAAGAAAATATGATCAAAAATTAACATTGTCAGTTTCACCCTGTGTTTTTTTTATGAATTAAAAAAAAAAAAAAAAAGGCTTTTTGGAGGTTTTGTTGCATAACATTACGACTCAAAAACAGTGATTGTGGTACTTGGTGGTATATTAGAATCAAACAGGCTAGCTGACCCCAATTAGCTTCTTGATTGAGTGGTCAAAATATGGTCATGGGTTCGAGTCCTATCCAAGCAAGCATGTGAAGCAGTTTTCACAGGATATTGGACAGAAATGGTTGTGCAATACTTATAAAAAGTTCATGTAAGTGCTGAATAATGGGCTCCATGCACATACCCCTTCAACGGTAAGAAAGGGAGAGTTGGGGAGATCTCTGGGAAAGACGATGCCGACGATGCCCGACACTCGTGCGAAGACACAAGTGCTTTTGTGCACATTCGGAATAAACTTAGCCATGTGTACTTTTGCCATACGCCAATGAATCAGTACATGCACACGTTGTGTCCCGTTCACTGGGCTCTTGAAAGTTGTCAAAAAGCCGGCACCCTCTTTTGTTTGTGCATAGAATTGCACTTTGTTATCAAGGTAATCTGAATTAAACAATACTTCTCGCTAGGCAAATGTACCCTAGATTTTTTCTTGTTAGTTTATGGTATGGGGAAGTTGCATGTGTATTGATTGAAGTATTCTTTTCTTTCCGAATTGTTTAGTAGTTCCATTCATAAGTTTGGAAAACATATACATGTATGCTTTCTTTTCTAGTCCATGCAGTATAGAGAGCCATAAAACAACAATGCAGTATGGTGGATGGTATTGAAAGTGAACAGACAAAAAAGAACAAAAACAAAAGCCAATCACTCCAAGATATTGCAAGTGGGACTGGCTACAGCTGAGCTGCCCTCCAACAGTTGACAGCTTGGATTAGGTCGGCTACGGGACCTCCTCTCCTCTGATATATAAACACAGACAAATGCATCCCTAGGTCTTTGAAAAGGAAGGGGGGGGGGGAGATGTGAGGACGGCAAAGGGAACAGCCTAAAATAACAGTGGCAGACAGTTCACTAGCCAGGGTAATTAAGCCGTAAAATCCTGGGACTAGCGGTCAGCTCATCTGCTGGAAGTCCGCCGGTCTATTACCCTAACCACCCTAACCACCGCGTCCCTCTCAATCTTTTGGAAGCTCACCGTGTCTCATGTCGGTCACCGTCGGGCCGAGCTGGCAGCGTAATGGGACACTGATCCCGCAGACGTGGAGGAGAGAGAGGGATGATATCGGGGAATATGTCTGTTCTCTTGAGCGGAGTAGGAGACAAGTGTGTACGGTGCGGGCTGGCGTGGATGCGAGAACTTTGATTGGATGTGGCACCCCTCTCTCATGTTGGAAAGTCTGGAGATTAGCAGTGTCTTAATGTTGATGGAGAGTGCCAATATATTTTAATTTTTTTCCCTCTTCTTTTTCAATTTTTATATTTTTGTTCTTTTCTTTTTTCTGTTTTCTTTTGTCAGTACGGCCTGCAGACTGCTTTCATAATTGGGATGGAAAGGTGACAGTTGCAATTTGGGTTCCCGAGAAGTCCAGTTCCTTTTGTCTTTGTTCTGCATGTAATGGATTGGTTTTGACAGAAACTTAACTTCAGCTTTAACTTTGATAAAAAAAAAATTGAGAGAAGATTTTCTGTTTCATTTTCAGGGTGGTTGCATAGGCCTACTCATTGCAAACAGACTTTTCTCTTTTTGATTGCAACTGATTTTCATGACAAATCTAGGTAGCACCTTCCTTTTCCCTTTTCATGTTTTCTAATCTAAAAGGTATTTTTGGTTTATAGCCTCAAAACTACTCATTTTTGTAAATGATATTTTTAGTTCTAATATCTTTCCCCTATATTTGGGGTCAGTAATTTTATTGCTTTTTTGTGCCCTGTTGAGGGCGATGTGCAAGTAAAATTGGGTAAACAAATGTATAAAAATCAGAAAAAACAGAATCATCAACAGAAACAAGCATATATGTCATATTTATGGCCCCAAAAAACCTCTTAATATTCATCCATTTTTTTCACCGAGATTTGTGTTTATAGTGCACATGAATATACTTGTATGACCAGCAATACCCAATTCCTTTGTTGTTGGCCAAGTTCAACGTGGAAAAAAATTGGCTGCTTTGAAACAAATCATTTCAAGATGCAAGCAAAAACCACCCCATGATTTTTTTCCCCAAATTGGAGGAAGAATTAGGCCAGGGATTTGAGGCCCCTTTATCATGATTAAGAAATGAGGGGCGGTATTGGCATGCTGATCGTCTTGCTTTTGTTCGTTTCGGAGAGTGTGTTTTTGTGTGTGTTTGCGGGGGCCGACTTGGGGTATGATCTATATTTCATCTCTCATCTGGTGGGGCTTACGCTGGTTAAATCCAGGAGATTGCTGGAGTGGTGTGTGCTGGGGAGCTCCCTGTGGCTGTCCAAACATATACCGCTACCCACCCCCACCCCCCCCCCCCCAAGATGCAGTGTTCCTCCCTTAAGAAAGGCTTTCCACGATGTGACAACATGTATAATTTACTCCAGCGTGTGCATATATGTCAGACTCTACATATAATGAGT